AATATATATAAATCAATAATGTATTTTTTGTATTTAGGTAGAGAATCTTAAACAGCAAGGAAATGCATGTGTTAGAGAGAAAAAATATGAGGAGGCAATGATTCATTATTCACAAGCAATTAAGCTGGATCCAAAAAATTATTCTCTCTACAGCAACAGATCCTTTACTTTCTTAATGTTGGAACGATATCGTGACGCCTTGAACGACGCTCTGATAACCATTCGACTAAAGCCTGACTGGTCAAAAGTATGTAAAAGGATATATATACTTCCTGCAGATCTTGATTTTAAAAAAGGAATAAATTTCTCAATATGTTTATCTATTTTAGGGTTATTTTAGGAAGGGCGAGGTTGAACTGAAACTATCCTCTTACAATGAAGCGCTTGAGTCTTATAACAAAGCTCTATCCTTGCAACCAGACGAACCGAAGATTTTAGAAGCGATGAACAAAGCATCGAAATCATTGATTAAAGACAGAAGAGGTATATGGTGCACAGAGTTATCTTGGAACTATGAAAATTGGAACGTAATAAAATAATGTTTCACAGCTGATCAACAGATCCCGTGGCTTGGAGCTGGCGTTGGTATTATATTAGGAGTCACAGTTGTAATTGCCGACTATGTTTTTACAAACAAGCCCACTTTAACGGTATTGATTCATACTTTATATTTTTAAATTATTATTAAAATAGTAATTATATTTTTTTTGCTGTAATGTACGCGATATAATTCTTTCATATTCTGCTACAGCATCCTCTACTGATGGCGTTATTAACGATGACTATAGCTATGATTGGCTTTGGCATCGCAAAAGGACTTCGTTATTTCTTAAAACACCAAAGAAAGTCAGTCCTAATAGGAGGAGACTTTTCTCACTGCTTACTAGAAGCCAATGAATCGAATGATATCTATGTAAAAGAAAGTACCGATACAAAGAAAAAAGAACGGTAAAGTACAAATGGGGCAATAATTCTGCAAAGAAAAATGATAGTTTTTTTTATTGATCAATTATTTCAATGTACTTTCAATATTTTTAATTAAGAAATGCAGTAACATTTTTACTATTAATATATAAAAGTAAAATGTTATGGACGGATAAAACTAATGTTTGACTATGACTATCACTGATGTCTATCATTGAACGCTGTTATTTTTTATTGAAAAAATGGGAATATATTTTATATTATTTTTAATTTTATAAAACCATGTAAAGCGAATATTTATATCAAAAATAGATGATTCGTTAACTTTACTAGTCATTTCTTCACACAGTACATGACGAATAATTTATGCAGTACGCAAAAAAGATAAGAAATAAATTAATAATTAATTATATGCACACTATCATTACATCTGATTATTATATGGCTCATAATGAAGTATGAATGTATTCTTTTGAAAATAGTATTTATTCGAAACGCTGAAGAACATTATATTTGCATCACATTTGTATCCTTACGACTTAGAAACTTGGTAAGAAACATTGTCTCTTGCTATTGATTCTTACAACGAACAACGAAGTATATAAGTGTATTAAAATAATATACCTGTATGTGTGCGTGCGCGTATGTGTATGTATGTGTGTCGCATGTCTTCTTACTCTTTCTGCACTTTATAGTATAATATCACAAGAGTGAATGTATATGTATATCGCTTGAAACTAAAGATCTTAATTAAAATTATATTACTACTATTATTTAAATAATGTATTTAAATATATATATGTGTGTGTGTGTGTGTGTGTGTTTCCGGCTGGAAACATCATCCAGTTGAGCTCGAAAAGACTAAAGATTTATAACTTTATATAGGGTATTTTTAAATAAATGTAAAAACTGTCAGATAATTCTTTGTCGAAAATGAAGAGTTTTTCATATAAATACTCTTAAATCCCTGAAAAGTTACACCTTTAAAAGGGGAAGTAAAAATTAAATTTTTTTGTCAAATTTTGGACATATTAGAAAAATAAAATTTAACGGAAATTTTTCGCTATAAAAAAAAACATTTATTAATATTAAAAAAAAATAAGAACTTAATGTTTACCTCCTCTTTAAAGGAGTGTAACTCCAACTCCTCAGGGAGACATATAAAAATATATGGTTTGTATGAAAAATCCTCTCAATTTTCAACAAAGAGAATAAACTTCTTCGCGCTTATTTAGAAACACCCTGTATACCTACTAAGTATATCTGTAAGCATATACACAAAAATTCTTTTTCAATCGTAGATATACTTATAGTATATCTGCTTGTAGTTCATAAGTCATCAACTGTTCACGATTCAAGTGCATCAATGTCACACACAAGCAACCTGTGAACTATAAACCGCATTATGCATTCGTTTATGATATCGTGTGGTTTAATAAAGATGAAATTAAAAACACTACCGATGGATATCACGAACTTTTGTGTGATTCCTGAAATACCGTCCTTCGAAACTTGTTTCATGTTCCACTCGCATGCAACCGAATTACGCAATACGGGAAAGTAACAAACGGCAAAAATATGCGCGATGCGCCGGGGCGAGAAGTAAAAGGAGATTCACCAAGCGATTTTAGGTCGGACATTCGGTTCATTTGCGAAGTATATCTCAAAGTACCAGCAGGGAAGGGACGCAAAGATAAAATGGGAACGAGCTATTAGTGCTAATCAAGTAAATACTAACACCTAAAGAAATCAATAAAAGGAATAATATTATTAAATGACATAAAGAGAAGAATAACTTCAAGAAAAATCTGTGCAGCATTAATAAGCTAAAAATCAATAATATCCTCCTATATACTTACTATAGTAGAATATGTGTGAACAGTTTAGATTAGAATAATCAATATTGGTTATAGAAGTAACAACAAACAGGGAATATATATAAATAATTGGTGAAAACAAGGAAATGTCGAAGAACAATAAAAAACTATTTTTATTTGATTTATAAAATTATGCTGAAATAATCTAGCTTTCTATGCGCCGAGAAATTATGTACGTTTCCGAACAAGTTTGTTACTTCGCAGGATTTGTGCTTCCATTTTTAAGTCTAGTGCTGTCTTTTTTCTCTCTTTCTCTTTCTATTTATCTATCTCATTTGCTATTCTGGCATGCGATTATTCTCTCACGCGTGCATATTATTGCAGTTCGCAGTGTAGATAGAAGAAATAATTGGACCGCAACTCGTGTAGGGCGTAGCAAACAAGGAGGGAACAATGTCGTTAACAAACAACGCGCATGATTTAATATTGCAATAAACGCCAAGTATTTATAAAACTGTAGAATCATTTGGATCACACATTGATTGTATGTTACATTCAATGGGAATATTTTTCAGCGTTTCGCTATAAAAAACTGTTCTCATGTGATCAACTTGTATTCAGAAACGAACTTCCACGAATCCGAGCTGATCGAAAATATGCAGCGCTTCATTTCAGAAATCACACCACGTGGCGTAAATAATCGGGTTCCATCTGATTATATTTTTCCCGCTTTGCCTGAATAGACACAACCTTCTTCTTCCATATCAAGTTCCTCCGAAGTTGATTATCGCATTCTAGAAAAAGTTGTCCGACTATGTAACTTACCAAAAGGCTAGGTAGATCTAGTCATTTTCTTTTTTACGTTCATACTCGATCGAGTCTAATTCAACGTAACGGTTAAAAGAGAATGTCTGCAAGAACGTGGTCATTAAATCGTGATGACATAATAGGATTAACGATAAGATAAGCGACTGATAAATCCAATCAGCTGTTAATGATAAAATTACACGAGTCCTAAAATTCCAATATCCGTGACCTCAAATCCCTACTCCGACAAACTGATCACAAAAGCTTGTATCTTGGAAAATCGGTAGAACACAAAATCGACGCTCCGAGCATTCCATAAGATTTATTATTACAATAAATATTGTTGCAATAAATTTATTATCATAAATGTCCTTTGAGACCTATAAGGGATTGAGAAAGAGATTATTTATTATTGTTGCCGACTTCTCAGATTCTTACAAACAATCGTCGTGCAATTTGCTCGAGGCGCAACAATGCGCGGACAAGTTACATTTATGGAAAAGAATATACGATCGAATTATACTCATAAAAGCAATAGATAAATCGGCGATCAGCTGTGAAGTTTGTTTTTCACGGGAGAGATAAGGCGCGTGCTCCCTCCGAACGTTTCTCCCTCACGAACAATTTCGCAAAGCAACAAAGAGCTCCGTCACCGTTTTAGGATCCGTTTTCTTCGATAGTTTCACGTACTTGGTGCGTTTACCGTGATTATTAAAATCTTAATGTGTTTCCCGTACGTATAAAATGGTAAAATGGCGTGTCCCAATAATCCCCCCTCCCCCCCCCCCGCCTATTTTTCTCTACGCAGCGCTTATACGGCTCGCAGGCCGGTCCAGTACTCCAGTTATATATCTCACGTACGTGGTTCGTCATGAACGTTGGCATGGCCAACTTCACTCCGAACTACACGCGCGCGCGCGCGCGCGGGCGCGTCACTCACCGCGCGCCTGAAGATCCTTTATTGCGAGCGATGATGCGAGAATCGCCAATGATAATGCAATCCACAGAAATAGACGCGCAAATATTTCGCGGCGATACAATTTACAACTCGAACGCGAAGTTATCGATGGCGACGGACGGCACCGACGATCGCAGGTGTCGAACTTCATGCGAATTCGCGATTTCCATTTTTTTTCCGACGCAATATTATTGGAGGTCTGTTCGAGGTTGCACTTTTTGCACTCGGATTTCTTTCTTTTCAACGAATATGTATTTATTTTTGAAGATTTCAGGCAACGCGAACAAACCTCGAGTCTTCAGATCGATTCTTTTCAGCTGAACTTCTTGCATGATTCGTCTTTTCTCTTTTTTTTCCTTCAGCTTGAATGTAAAAAAGGAAAAACGACCCGTACGAGAAGTTCAGCTGAAAAGACTAGGCCTTTCTCACGAAGTAGGACGAATCGGAAAACATTTTCGTTCGACGTGCGCGTAGCTCGTGTTCTTTTCGACTCGCAACGCAAATCCTGCGAATCTCGTTTCCAGGATCTCGTTTCCAGGAAAGAGAGGAGGCGACGAGCGCGGAAAAACGGACGTCACGTTTTTCACGCTCGCCGTCCCGAAACCGTTGACGTCACTGCACGAAGTATTCTCTCACGCCCGTATTTCGCACACGCGATACGACGGGCGACGCAATACGGCGTACGTCGACGACTCCATCGGAGGCGAGTTGCGTAGGAAGATGAACGCCACGACGACCGATCAACGTGGCTGTTGGGCGAAAAACAGAAGGCACGCCACGGTGAGCCGCCGCGTCTCGTGACACTCGCTTCACGTGAAAAATGGCGACGAAATCTCGAGGCGTCTCGAGGACACCTCGGGACGAGAAAAGAAGTTCCTCGTGGAAAGGCTCCAAGGGGTTAGGGTGTCGGCGGATGCGGAGGCGTGTCGCGCGTCACACCGCACACGTCGTCGTCGCGAGCCGTCCCGAAGTGCCGCTTCCGCACCGGAAATGGAACTTCGAGACGGGATGGCGAACCCGAGGAAACCGAAGAGTCCCTCACCGGAAAGAAGCAGCGACGAAGGGCGTTCCGCGAGGATGCTCGAAACGAGAGAAGCATAGCCGGGACGCTCAGCACGATTGCCTGGTGCTCCGCAAGTCACTTGTCGAGAACGCGCATGCGCGAACGCATGCGCGTTGCCTCCTTACGGCACACACGGCTCTACAGCCGACAAAACGGGATGTTTTGTCACCTCCAAATCTAACGATTTTCTTAATATTCTTGTTTTTTCGATTTTTTTGATTTTCAGTCGGATAAAATACATGATATAAAAAAATGTAACGTGCATTTTTAATAATGGACATATTATTGACTTTCAATAAAGTTATTATATATATTGATAACGACTTACGATAAAATTATTATTGATATTAATGTAATAGATATATTATTGATTTTTAATATTATTATTATTTTATTTGTAGTAAACAACTTTTGGAGATCAAGGTGAAAATTACAAAACGAATTAGTGAATTTACTAAAATATTTATAATTTCATCGATCAACTTGTGCAGTAAATTGGTTCGCTTTTGTAATTTTCACCTCGTTTCGAGATATATAATCAACCTCCACAAAACGGTACTTCAAAAGATCTGAATATTCTCACAGTTGCAAACTTCAAGAGATTAAAAAGTTATGGAGACGAGGGAGCTTCGTTATAACGCGATTTACTTTTTTCGTTATAACGGAAATCACTTTACTGCTATAGGAAAAAGTTATATTCAATAAACGCGATCAGCCTCGTGAATTCCAGGTCTTTCGTCGCAGTTTCCCAAACAGAGAAGTCTCTGAAAAAGCTGACTCGATGTGTTAGCGCGCGCATCTCCTTCGCGCGGCTTTCCGAACTTTTCGCGACGATGATCCGCGAGTTCCGGTATTATAACAACTTGCCGTCTCCTCGTTCGCCACGATGATTGTCGGAAGAACCGCGAAAGTTTCCGTTTGTGCCTCATTACAACGTACTTTCTGACGTGCTTATTAATAACGCGTGACGAACGAAGGACGAAGTTCACGACTTGCCCAGCAGTAATCGCACAAAGCCCTCGCGCCACGAGGCGCAAAGAGGCAAAACGTAATCCACCATGAAGACGTTTTCCGTTACTCGCTCCGCTGTCCGCCGGGTGATTAACCGGTAAAAAATATTCCTAGGGCGAAAAAGTCGCACGAAGCGACCGAGGACCTATCGCAGGTTCAAACGTTAGGAACAGAAGTACAGATTTTTGTATAAATATCCCGAAATACAGTAACTGTATAGTAAGCTTTACTTCGCAAACATAATAGATGTAGTAAGAAGCTTTAAGCCTTAAGAAATTGATCAATTATCGAATGTGAGAAAAATAATCGACTATGATTGGTCAATTTCTTGAGGCTTAAGAAGACTGCACCTATTGTATTTGCGGAGTTAAGCAGATATCGACCAATTACAGTCAAATGTAAAAAGAATAATCAATCATAAATAGTCAATTTCTTATGGCTTAAGACCTACAATTTAGGTAATGACTTATTGTATTCATTATTACACTTAATTATGTTTTGGGACGCATAACGCATAAAAAAATCAATCCTTAGTCGTTCATTTTATGAAAAGAAAAGAAATGAAGAACTTCGATTAATTCATTTTTTGATGCATTATGTGTTATGCAAGATTCTCTGTGCTTCCATCCTAAGCCACTAAGCCATCCTAAGCTTTAAGTCTTAAGCCTCCAAGAAACTGATCAATCATTGTTGATTGCTCTTCTCACATTCGACTGTGACTGGTCAATTCCTTACGGCTTAAGGTTTACTACACCAACTGTTTGTGTCTTGGGTCTTAAGAGAAATATCAATCTCTAGACGTTTCGCGAATCTCTGTCCCTCCAGTTTGTCCGTTTTGTCGACGGATCATCGCGACGATCAACTGCGTAGCGAGTTCGACTTATTTTAAATTACAAAATAGCTTTCAATGCAGCGAAATGACGTGTCAATGAATAACTTATAATTAAATGCCGTTTAAATAAGAAAAATATTAATGAGAGGACCAAGAAGTTTCTTTTTATTTGCCCATACAGCATAGATCGTTCCAACATTGTTACAGCAACATTCACAATGTTCCATTAATATTGCGGTAATATCGCAAAATTATTGCAACGTTACTGGAATGAACCGTGCTGTATAGTATGAATGTCACTGATTGAAGCGATCAGAGTAAGATCTGATCGCGCGGAGCTCATGAAATCAGTTCTAACTGTTCTGAGACTGTGAATTCTCTAGTATTAATCTAAGTGTCACCCCCAAGTGCACCCTGCGTGTAGCCGCCTCTGTCACGGATCGCACTACTTTTCCATCGCATCCCACCCGGGCGCGCCGTGTGTACGGGTTGGTGGTCGCTGATTGGTGAACGACGATCGCCGGGTGCGCGACGGGGGCATCGCAACACGAAGCGGGACCCTCTCGACGACTGGGCGCATCTATCAATGCGCAATCGCATCGGAGCTGTAGACGAAGTCGGGGAGGTCTGCCGAGACGAGGAATAAACACGGTGGCTGGTCCGCGCACAGGCACACGGGCATCGGGGCATCGGCGAGAAGTGGGCGGCGAAGGGAGTCAAGCGGGAAAGAGAGAGAGAAAGGAGAGAGAGAGAGAGAGGGAAGATATAGTGGGAGAAAGCGAGAAAGAGAAGGGGAGCGCGCGAGAGAGAGAGAGAGAGAGAGAGAGAACGGGTGATACGGTCCGTGCGTGCGAGCGAACGAGAGAGGGAGTGAGAAAGACGTGAGCGAGATAGAGCGAACGAGTAGGCCAGCGAGACGATCACGATGCACGGAGGCGAGCACAAGCGGCCAGGGGCACAGGGCTGAGGGCTGAGGGCTCGACGGGGCCTCGAGTTACGTTCACGGGCCGGCCGCGACGCAGCCAGCGAGCGATGGAGCAGCCCAAGACTCCGGCGTCCCGGCTATTCAACACGACCTGCATCGAGAACAAGGACGACCTGGAAGAGGTAGCATAAATATTTGAAATAGTCACTGAGTACGTATCGGGTGCGAGGGCTTCCGCCATTGTTACGACGGTCGCGCACGTTGGCGAACGCGCGGCGCCACTTGCGAAAATCCACCTTTACGCGCGACATTCGAATCTGCCAAATGTAAAATCATCCTCGAGAGGACGAGGATTTCCATTCCTACCATTCTTTCTTTATTCCACTTTCTCCACGATTTTTGCTTTCCTTCCTCGTGTTCCGTCAAGCATCTCCATCGTGACACGTGATTTTTCTGAATTGCTCCGGAAGCTTTTCAATGCTTTCCAGCAAGAAACACTTCACAGTGGGTGCTTTTTCCAGCCAGAAACAGTGAGTGCTTTCCATTTGGTGACACGAATCGTCACAAGTATCATTCTGTCTTTACATATAAATGTAAAGATAGAACAACACTTGTGTCAACTTGTGTCGCTAAATGGAAAGCACCTAGTGAATTTCATTATATCGTTATTTGCCAATGTTAAACGAAGATAAAATGATCACTCTGTCATATTATTGATATTTTCTCGCAAAAGACATAGTGTAAGACGTAGTGTAGATGCAGATGATCATTTCATTTTTGTTTACATAGAATATTTTTCAGCAAGAGACACAGATAACACAATATAACATAATGAATATATCATTATTGTTTCTTGCTGAAAAGCACCAAGTGTAATACAGTGAATCATTTTATCTTTATGTAATATTGGCACACGGCAAGGAGTGCTTTCCATTTGATATCCAATTGATACGTGTGTCTATCTTTGTTAATCACTGGAATATCAAGAAAGTTAGAATGATGTTTATGTAAACTTATGCTAATAAATGGAAGGCTTATGTTACTAACTGGAAGGATCCAAGGATATAATAATTTACTGTGTTACACTGTGTCATCTATGTTTCTTGTTAGAAAACATCTGGAGTATCTCTCCTTGTATGCTCAAAGATATTTGTACTTTAAAATACTAAATAAAAATTTATTTAAATTTCTTGCATTTTTTTTCCATTTAGAATCAGTGAAATTGAGTGATGCAATATCTTTTCAGAAATTGGAGAGATGTCATTCGACGTTGCAAAATTTGATCACGGGACTCTCGGAGAAGGAAGCCCACGACACGCTGAACAATGCAGTATGCAAGGACAAGACACACGAGGAGGTTTCCCTGGGTTTACTAGTGATCATCTTGACAGAACCGCAGAATGCTGCAAAGAGTTACAGAGACTTGACATTGATCACACGAGATGGCCTAGGCATTGTGTTGCTTCATCTGAATCAATTAGTACTGGATAAATATTTGAGATTAAATGACGTTACCAGGAGCCAGTTATTGTGGTTGCTAAGGGAAATGATAAGGACTAGTGTAACTAATGTGGATAATCTTTGTTTGACTTTGTTGAGGCATGCGGCAGGCGGGGATATTTCCCCTAAGAACTTATTCCTAGTTGACGCCCTCTTAGATATTTTTCAAGAAAATCGAGCGTGGTTGGATAAATTTTCTTTTTTAGTAGCATCAATTGTGTACACGTATTTACGGTTAATAGAAGACCACAATGCACCTCATTTGGCTGGTTTAAGGCAAAAGGAAGTGACCTTCACAACATCTCTGATAAAGGAACGAATGGCAGACTGCCTAGCTATTGGAAGGTATACATACTAAGCAAACTTCAATTAAATTACATTAATATAAATTATGTAATAATGTAATTATATTTTTTAGAGATTTGGTCCGTTTACTACAGAACGTCGCGAGAATACCGGAGTTTGAAGCACTCTGGAAGGATATATTACTCAATCCGAAATCTCTCTGTCCAAATTTTAACGGTGTTCTTCAATTATTACAAACTAGAACCTCCAGAAGATTTTTACAATCTCGTTTGACGCCGGAAATGGAAAGGAAACTCGTGTTTCTGACGAGTAACGTCCGTTTCGGCAATCATAAGCGTTATCAGGATTGGTTTCAGAGGCAATACTTGGCAACACCTGAATCCCAATCGTTAAGATGTGATCTAATTCGTTTTATCGTTGGAGTCATACATCCTACGAATGAACTGCTATGCTCTGACATTATTCCGCGATGGGCAGTAATAGGCTGGTTATTCACAACGTGCACTTCCACCGTGGCTGCCAGTAATGCAAAGCTGGCTCTGTTCTATGATTGGCTGTTTTTCGATCCTGACAAAGACAATATCATGAATATTGAACCTGCAATCCTTGTTATGCACAATTCAATGAGGTCTCATCCACCTGTCACTGCCACACTTCTAGATTTTTTATGCAGGGTGAGTTGCACTCGTTTATTTCACTGGCAAATTCTAAGTATTGAAATAAAGTATGATTCTAAATAATAAATAGAATATAATTTATATATATATATTTATAAATTTATTTAAAATATTTTATTTAAATTCTGAATAATAAAACAAAATATGATTTACAGATAATACCAAACTTCTATCCTGCGCTAACAGAGAAAGTCAGAAACGGTATATTTTCATCATTGCGACAAATTTTGGAAAAACGCGTTTTGCCTAGCCTATATCCGTTATTTGATAGTCCGAAGCTCGATCGAGAATTAAGAAGTAAAATACGGGAAACTTTTAAGGAATTTTGTCTACCACCAAATACAGAAATGCATGGTAAAACTATTAATATATAATATATAAACGTTGTATTATCATATTAACATCTTATCACATTATCATGTAAAAAAGATTTCATTTTACGATGAAAGTAGATCCAAGAATTGTTGGAAATAAATTATTTGCATCATGGACAACTTGAATAAGTCCATGAGGTAGTATCTTTGAGCCAAGGTCGAAATACAATTGTGATATATTACTGTGATATATACTGTATATATTATTGTAATATATATTACTGGGAGATTTATTTATTTACATATCTTAGCTAAATTAATCAACTTGAATAAATTTTAAACAAAAAAAATACATTATCTTATAATCTTTATACTAGACGCTAAATATATCTACTTGCTGATTACTTAACTGATTTTGACATTTTATAAATAATGTGCTAACTTGTCAATTTGAAAAGAATTTTCAGAATTTAATTTATTAGAATTGTATTTATTGTAAAGTTTGAATAGCTCTTTTTTGACAATTATTTTATAATCATTTATAATCAAGAATTCTTGAAAATCAGTTATAATTAAATTAAATTAATGTTTTATAGACGAGATTTATTATCCTAACTTGATTGTCAAAATTTATCTACTAGTTTTTGAGAGCACAAGTTTATAAAGGTTAATCATTTACTGTTTAGATTATCACGTAGCCATTACTATTACTGCATGCACAGATTCAGATTAATGATCACAGATGACAAATGGTCATGTGATCATTAATCATTATACGCCATTTAAAGAATCTTTAGGTCCTTATATCTCAGCTGAGATTAGTTAGTTGTGATTGATCCTTGTGTTACAAAAACTATTGCTTGAAGTAAAAATCTGTAAATAACTTTTTTATTTCAGTTTTCTTGTTATAGTAATTTCAGTCGTGAATTTCAGAATACTGATTTTGATGTTATATCAAAGTTCGATTATCAAATCTTTCAAAAAAATGTATATTTTCCATTACACATAATATACATTTCTAGCTGAAAGTTTATTGGAAACAGATTAAAGTCAGATTTCCATGGAATTTATGTTCTCGATGTTGGAACTATATTAACTCGGTCAAATTGAAATAATATTTTGAAATAATATTTTGACACAATAATGTCAGTATTAGAGATGTGCGATCTCCATTAATTGAATCGATCTCTGAATTAATCTTGAATCGGATTAATTGAAATCGATCTATTAAAAATCTGAGCTGAATAAATCGATTTATTGGAGATTGATTCAATTAAAATTTTTTTAGTAACATCCCAATGAGATATGACAATGGAATAGATGTCAAATCGACGTTAATTTGATGATTTCAACGTCAATCGATATTAATTCCATATATATCCATATATTCCATCGATATATTCCATTGTCATTTCTCACTGAGATCATATAAATTCAGCAAAAACAATTAAAACACGATTTTGATTTGCCTCCGAGCAAAATAATTTTAATTTAAAAATCTAGATTTAAACTAACATCTGGACCCTTATTTTTGAAAAGAATCGCATATGAAAAACTAGGGAAATTAGACACTATAAAACTACATACTATAGTGTACGTACATAACATATACTATAGTATTTTCCTAGTTTTTATATACTTTCCTAGAATAGGACCTGTTTTTCAAAAAGATCGATCTTTTAGATTTTTAGAGGATCGAATCGAGATCACACATTCCTAATCGTTATAATATCGTTGTTCAAATATTATACATATAATAAAAAGATTGTGTAATGACAATATAACGATACTTAAATCTAGTAGACTTTGAAAACATCTTAAATATAAGATCTTATATTCATGATAAACAAAGAAAAAATTGACCAATTGCATTAGCTAAATTGTTCAAGTTTTGTGTGATTCGTTAAGTCTTTTTCCACCCAATTTTTAGCATCATAGACACAAGACTTAAGGAAAAAATACCCTATATTCGAGATTTTTATCCGAATTGTGCTACAAGTTTTAGTAATCTTTTATTAAAGATTCCAAGATCTTTCAAACAAGTTTTTTTCATAAAAAATAGTAGAAATTAAAAAGGGTATTAAAAAATATTATGTTAAGAAATTGTACTTGAAAATATATTAAATATTCAGAAAATCTTTCAGTTTTTGGGTATATAATCGTGCCACACAAATAGCAAGCTGATTATTTGTTGTCATTTTGACTTCATGATATATTAAAGATTATTTAACATTAAAATGGCAACAAGTAACATCAGCTTGCTATCTAGATAGTAATGAGTTGTGACATACGTATTACCGTGATATATTACCGCGCGTCCATTTTCTAAAAGTTTTCTGTGACAAATCTGACGATTCACTTTCAGCTTTCAATACATTTATCGCTTACTAACTTTTTACATCATGTCCTTAAGCAGGTAATAAGGTTCTGAAATATTCAGGTAAAATGGAAGAGCTCAACAAGGAGCACAATCCAGGGACTGTAATAGAAAATACCACAAATTCTACCATGGAAAACAATCACGTGGTACAAGATCCAGAACCAGCATTCAGTGATGAAGAAGAGGAATCTCCTCTCAGGTTAACTATCCATTGCATATATTAATGTAATATTTATTTACATTTAGTATAACATATACTATCTTTTCGATATGGAAATGGATTATAGACTAAAGTTTTATTTCATCTTATGAATACATTCATCAATACATTCATTATGAGTGAAACAATAACAGTAAAAAACATGAGACTCAATTATAACTTCGACCGCAGTGATTGTGACTGTAATTGTTGATTATTCTTTGATCATGACGAATCTATTTTTTGCACTGAAAACAAATTAAATTTCGTATTACAAACGTAATCTTAATTAAATGAATTTATTTGTATTTTAGAATAGTGATGAAAGTGGAAGAGGAAGAAGACGAGGAGGATGTACCATTGTCTGCTGTAAAATTGAAAAATGATCAAAAGAACGCGAACTGCGTCGTGAAGAAGGAGGACATTACGTCGCATTTACGTCTCATATTGGAGCCGGAAGAGTTGAGAACTAGTATAGAAACATTGCATACGGAAACTGACAATGAGTCGAGATGCCAAGCGATGGAAAGGATAGTACAAATGGTCGTGGAGGACGAAATAGATGCAGAGACAATACCCGCGTTAGCGTCCTGTATATCAACTATCTTATCGCCACAGATCACGGCGCAGATTTTTCCGTCGGATAATCTAAATGAAGAAGTATTGGCTGATAGTATAAGCACACCATTGTTTGTTATGTTTCGAAACCAGTTTCAATTATGCAAAGAAGAAGATAATAGGCGGAAGCTTTTGGCCAGGGTGCTAGCGGAAATGCAATCAATTCAATCTAGGATAGGTTTTCTCCTTCTTTATTTCTTAAAAGTCTGGGGCAGAGAAGAAGAGAAAAGAGAAGGCGAACCGAGGTTAGACGAAAAATATGAATATGAATTATTAAACAGACAAAAAGTAAGAAAAAAAATTTAACTTTTGAATTGTTATATTTCAGCAATGTTCTGAACGATGTCAAAGCATCAGTATATAAAGACTTCTGTGCGCAACGAGAAAAAAAATTGGACGTTTGTCTGGTGTCAGATTTAAAGGTATGAATTTTGTATACAAATATAAACAAATATCAAAGCGATATATTTTAATATTATTTGCTTTTGTTGCAGCTTTGCCATGAAGATAACATATTCATGTTATGTTATCTCGTGCCTGACGTATATACAGGGTTTCAAAATGTCGCCGTCGGAAATGTTCAACTGTTACATCTTGTCGTGTCCACTGTGGATTCGTGCCAGTTACAAGATCTAGTTTGTCAAATAATGCAAGGCCATCTAAAAATGTTGAAGAAGGAATCGTTCACCACGCTATTAACAGCCAGCTTAAATTGGGAGACATTCGAGCAGTACTGTTTCTGGCAGCTCATATTCGCACACGATTTTCCCATTGATTACGTACTGCCAGTTTTGCCGAAATTACAGTTTCGTAATCACGCGGAGGCACTTACTTCAATCTTGTTTATGCTTAAGCAAGAAAAGTGAGTAAAAGAATTGCTGATTATTAGAAAAATTATTGCAAAACAATTCGATATATGGACTTCATATTTAACTAATGCATTATAGACCAACGTTGGATCTTCTACGACAATTACTCGCCCGACAAAGCGTTGATGGCGATATGTTTGTTGTGGCAGCGTTACGTTACTGGTGTCGCGATTATGAAGAAAAACTTGGCGAGCTGCTTGCGAATCTACTTAGTACCCGTTATCCTGCGACCAGTCCGAACAAACGGAAACGTTCTGGAGCCAAACAGAATCAACAATCTGCTGGTCCACCTTCCGGCGAACAAGTTCTCGGTCATCTAGATCAATTACGTCAACACTGTATGTCCTCCGCGGAATTACAGTTATATCACTCGGAAGGAATGCAAAGGGCATTACAACAGGCGCAGGCGGCAAGTAGTGATTCACTGAGGAAAAGTTACGGCGATCTCTTTGCGCTTGCAGAAGTCAATGAAGAGAATGAACCGCCACCACCGAGTAGTTCCGCGAGAAAACACACTACTGCTTCCTCTGGAGGTGGTGGGGCCAGTGGTAAGGGTGGCCATGCCAGGAAAACCGGTGCTAACACGAGAGAAAGATCCAATTTGAAGAGACCACTTCCACGATATCATATTGATAGTACCTCTAGTAGCGAGGTAAGGGTTTTTAGAAATGATATTTATGTAAATCATATGTGGATATAATTATATACGTCATACAATCACACACACACACACACACACACACACACACACACACACACACACACATACACACATTTATTATAATTGAAAAATTAATTTGTTTTATCGTTCACAGGAAGAAGAAATTGTGAATCCAAAGCAAGCGAAAAAAAGGAAAAAGATCAATCCAGTGGGCTCGGACAGCGACTGACCACCCAGTGTCTTCATATGTCACATGGACCACGTCATGTGTGTGCAGCAAGCTAAACTAGCCTTAAGAATAGTAAGATAATATGATATATATGTACATATATATAACATTGATATATTTATATATATATAAATCATATTATATATACATATAAATCTATTTAGCGCAACTTTGTAAATAGAATGTATGCTAATGATGAACGCGGAGAGGTATACATATATAGGAAAGTAAAACCTTTAATATGTTTCATATATATACATGTTGCTCAGAGCAACAGCAAAATTGCCAGACTCTGATTGTTATTGTTAAAACATTTTGTTGAAAATTAAAAATCGATGTGTGGGAACTACTTAATCGTACGCTTAAATACGATCTTATTTTAAACTGTTTTTACATTGACAGATACTAGTTAATGATATTTAAAGGTAAACTCGACCAAGCGGTACGTCAATTAGTCTGCAAAATATGCATTAGGCTACCGCTCATATCTGTCAAAAGTATTAAAAAGCAGGACATTTTAGAATTGCTGAAGATTCCTGTTTTTTTTTATTATAGTCATATTAAATTATGATGTTGGGTAAGAAATCGTGAATTTTTTTTGGCAATATACATCATAAAGGTTTCTTGTATGCATATTTGACAGCATATGGAGGAATGAAAGCTATGTGGTGTAAGGCACTTTTATGATTTCAAGAAATAAAAAAATTTTTTGATGTTAATGAAGACGTATACCACTATCGTTTTCATCCCTCCATACGTAAGTTATACTATATCTTCTTTTTAATTTGTAAATTAGTAATGATGTAAATCTTGATCAATTATCATCGCATGTATAACATGCAGATCGAATTATAAATGTTAAAACAACTATAATACATTCTTGCATTTATTGATGCATAAAAATGAAAGTATATTTTCAGTACTATTATCTATATACAGGGCGTGTCTATAAAATTTTTCTTCACCTTCCATATTTCAAAAATGATTTAAAATTATGAAAAACCGCAAAATAGTGTTCGAGGGCTATTTTTTTGAAAAGATTGAGGGGTTGTCCTCCCCCTCACCTGAAGGGGGTACATCTACTATTTCTAATACAGTAAGAACATTTGAAAGAGTTTAACGTTAAGAGTTATTAGTTTGATGAATGGAAACTTGCATTCTTTCGTTTTGTGAAAAGTTTATGAAAACTTTTTTTACTTACTCGACATATTATACAAGTTTGATCCTAATCTTTGCAAACACTTTGTACGTATGATATGCATACACGCGCGCGCGTGCGCGCGCACGCGCACACACACACACACACACACACACACACACACAGGGTGCTTTTCATTTGGTAACACAAATCGACACAAGCATCACTATGTTTTTTGGCACTAAGTAACAAAAATAGAATGACTTGTGTGATCAAATGAGAGTTCTCATGAAAATATTTAATTAGTTTGAACTTATATATACATACACACACATTATATATATATATATATAAATATGTAAATACATTATAAAACAAAGATTCACACGATTTTTTGTCTGACATCACGATTCATATGACTGTGAAAAATAATATAACCGTTTTCTTCGCAAATATGAAAGCGAAAAATACAAAGAATCTGGCAACATTGCAGGAGTATAGCAACGCAATATATCCCTTTTGCACTTTACTTTTTTTACTTTTTTTTAAATATCATTATGACGGATTTTTATCTATTATCTAAATATGCAGTCATTACGTTTTCCTTCTCTTTATAAAATTTTTGTCAAAATAATTGTGATCGTTATAGGACATATTCGTTGCCATAACTCCCGGGCGTAATTCAAATGAAATATTAGCCTTTTCTTTTCTAGAATTAAGAACTTTCTACCGGGACGTCGAGACGTAATTCGTGTACGTATTATTCCGGTGAGAAGTGTACAGTTTTACGACCAAATGTATTCAGTTCTCAATTGCGCTTAATGAGCACAATTATTCTCGAGAGATACAGGGATACTTTTTATAATGTTCTGCATGACGGAAGGTTATTAAACTTTAAAGTAATCAGAGTGATTCAATGTTAGCTTGAAATAAATTCAATTTTGTTTCAAATTTTATTAGGATCATTTAGTAATTTGATTTAATAATTTGTTGCGATTATAAACTGCAACGTAATTTGACTTGTACTTTTGTATATCTTTTTACATCTCCTTATATTTGTAGATAGACATATAAGGTGAAATTAATTCGCGCATGGTGATAACGATGCAGACACAATCAAGTCGGTCTCATCATTGCACAAGTATTCAATTCTCGTTTAAAAAATGTTTGAATAATTTTCCGTATTAAATCGTTCGTCGTTTCGTTATCATATTACGTACGAGATATACGTGTTTCTCTGAAATGTTAAAAAAATCTGAAACTACGGTACCTTCCAAAAAAAGAAGAGGAAAAAGAAAGAAAAGAGAGTGTTAGGCATACTTGTAAACCTAAGTCTCGAAAACAAAGTGCGGAGAGAATATATCACCACTTACTTTACTTATAATGTACATAACATTTCCTGTAAAATCGTTTAATCCAAAAGTCGATTGCATTATGCATCTTCTAATTGTGCGTGTATACATATATACACACACATATGTGAGATATATAAATATATACATAAAACGTGATGTGAATGTGTATGTATGCATGTATGAAACATTATATTGTATGTGATGCGACCAGAGAATTTAT